CTGCTTGTTTGCTCTGCTCCTTTTCAATTTTTTCCAGACTTTCCAGAAGAGAATCCACTTTTTGTTTTATTTGGGTCAGCTCCTTCTTAATGGCCTGAAGGTCATCTCCTTTCACTTTAATACAAACAAAGTCTTAGATTATATTCAAATGGACAAGAATCTACCAGCTACCACTAGACTATATCAGCAGCCCAAACCAGATTTACATAATTGTTTTTTTTTGGGGGGGGGTGGTGATCATAAATAAACTCAAGGGCACTCAATCACTGAGACACATCCCCAGCCCTATTTTATATTTTATTTAGAGACAGGGTCTCACTGATTTGCTTAGTTGTCTTGCCATTGCTGAGGCTGGCTTTGAATTCATGATCCTCCTGTCTCAAGCCTCCCAAGCTGCTGGGATTACAGGCATGCGCCCACCATGCCCAGCAACATGTTTATTTTAAAAGATAATCCTAATACCAAAAAGAAAAAAAAGAAAACACATCAAAATCACAAATAAGAAAAAACAATACATACACTTTCCAGATTTGGAAGAAGATCCTCGCTGTCCACTCTTAGAATTGAAGCCACTTTTGCCCCTTCGGGAGGTGTTTCCTGAAACACGCTGGCGTTTAGAGGGCACTACAGCCCTAGCAATAGGAGGAGGAGGAGGAACTCGTGCTGGGTAACTATACATCCTATTGGATAAAAGAAACAATTCTTTCACACTTAAAATTAACTTAAAACCTCAATTATTTCATATATATTTTTTTAACACTTCAATGTTTCAAGAAACCATTACATGGATGTGTCATGATGTGGTTGACTGGCTTTAAGTCCTGGAAATAAAAACAGACTTACATTTCATAGATAGTTCACATAAAACATAAAACAAATACGGTACTCACAAGAAAGGATTAAAACCAAATGGTTCAAACAGAGGTATTGAACTCAGAGGGGCTTACCCACTAAGCAATACCTCCACAGCCTTTTATTTTCAAACAGTGTCTGGCTAAGTGCCTTAGGGGCTCTCCAATTTGCTGGAGCTGGCTTTAAGAGATCCTCCTGCCTCAGCCTACTGAGTCACTGGTATTACAGGCATGTACAACCACAGATGCCTCTCACTAATGTAATTTCTGACCTACAAAACCCCACAGCTGTTTCCCCATAAAATGCTTTACCTGTGTATAAATACCACTAATATTAAACATCTGACATGAATATGCCACGTTCAATTTTCTAACTACATTTATGGTAATCTAACTACATTCATAGTTCCAATCAAAGAGGCAGATATGGTAGAACATGCCTAAAATACCAATTTATCAGATGGCTTGGGCACGAAGTCTTCAGGCCAGCCTAGGCAACTCTCTTTGTGACATTGATTCAAAATAACAATTTTGAAAACAGAAGCAAGGGCATGTATCAGCAGTAGAGACCTCACATGTGCAAGGTTCTGGGATCAACCCTGGTATAGCCTGACCCAACCACAAAAGAAAAAACAACAAGGCAGATGAGTAATACTGTTAACCTGCTTTGTTCACCACTGCCTATATTCATTTCATGGAATATATTTACCAATCAATAAAAAATGGATAGATTAATAGATTTAATATCCCATTAATAGATTTGGTATGCCATCATTAGGAACATTCCAAAATGAATTAAAAACTGACTCTTTAACATTCCTAAAGAAAAACTTCAACAAACTGCTTACACAGAAACTGTCAAAATAAAAAAAGAAATAGGGAGGAAGCTCACTAGTGGAGCATCCGAGTTTAAAACAGTTAACAAAACAATAACACAAAACAAATAAGAAAAAACCAGCCACCACCACCAGCCAGTTGGTTTGCTTAACTTCAAAGGTTTTAAAGAACAAACGTGATATATATTTAACAACTTTCAACTTTTACAAATCATGTAAGTCCACATGTCCCTCTTACATTTCTATGTATGACAGTGACTGAGTACTAATGTAGTTTCCATCTTAGGTAAAGTGAAAACATCAATTTCAGCAAGTATATGCCTAGAGTTAAAGCTACTGAGGCATCTAAGGCTAGCACAAACAACTTACTAAGACATCTTATAAAAAATAAAACAAAAAAAGGAAAAGGATGTGACAGTGACAGCAAAACACTCGTTTCGCACATGCTTGTACAAAAGCTACAATCACTAAACCCTAGGAGAATGATGATTTTACCCTAATCTGAAATATGGACACTTAACCAGTAATTAAAAAAAAAAAAGGCAAAATAAGAAAAATGTTTACAAATTAAGACATTTTGAAAGAAATTTTAAAAATATTTATAATGCAAGATATCCAATATAGACTCCAAATCCCTGGGTCACCAAAATCTCCTTGGTTATTAACATATTTCATTCATTAAACCAAAGTAGTAAGAAAACTAGAATCAATCTATTGGAATAAGTCCCATAACTCAAAGAGGCTGAGGTAAGAGAAATTATAGTTCCAGGCCAGTGTTAGCAACTTACTAAGACCCTCAGCAATTTAGCAAACTCTTGTCTCAAAATTGAAAAGGCTCAGGATATGACCTAGGATCAGGATATGATGTAGTGATTATTGTCATTTATTTTGTTCCCCAGGAACAAAAAAAAGACAATAATCTGTACTCTCCAGAATTAACCACACCTGTTTCTTTTCATTACAAATAATGTTTTAGGCATGTTCATTTCAGTATCACTGTTCAGAACAACATAGTTCCTTCAGCATTTAACAGGTAAAAATGCTCCAAAACCCCTCTGCAGGGGCTGGGGTTGTGGCTCAGAGGTAGAGATCTCGCCTACCGTGAGGCACCGGGTTCTATCCTCAGCACCACATAAAAATAAAGATATTGTGTCCACCTATAGCTAAATAATAAATATTAAAAACCCTCTGTATGCAAAACTGAAAAAATAAGGAGTTCATTTTATTACTACCTAAATTATGTGAACATCTTCTCACATACTTTGAAGCATTTCTAGTTTGATACAAAAGCTACATAAATAACAGGAAAGTCTACAGACACATTTAACTCCCAAATATTGCTAATCTGGAATTAAATTAGCCGATATACACAACATAAAACAGATATCAGCATTTCTTAGTTTCAAAAGTAGCTCCCAATTGCTTATTTATATTTTCAAATATCATTTATTTTACAATTAGTTCCCAATGAGTACAACACTGGTTTTTATCAAATTCAGTATAAATATACAAGCAAATTCTAGTCTCAACATTAGGAGGTTTTCTCACCTCCATTATTTTTAATCTTAATAGAAAAATTTCTAAATCAAATTTCTTCCCATTTACTTTTGATTTTTCATGAAAAAGGAAGAGATTTTATGATCCATTATGTCCAGTCTTAGGAAGTCTAAGAACTCATTTGCATGGTGTTGCTAAAAATCTTTAAATATACTTAACTCACAAAAAATAAATTAAAAAAAATTTTTAAATCACAGATTGAGAAATAAAGAATTCGGGCATAGTGGCACATGCCTACAATCCCATTTACTCTAAGAGGATAAGGCATGAGAGAATTCCACGTTTGTGTCCAGTCAGGTTAAGAGAAAACAAACAGAAACTCAAAAACAAACAGAAAAAATACATTCTATTTAATCTAAGGTAAGCAAATTTAAAAGAAACACTTTTAAAATAGATACAAAGAAACTGGGCCACAAATAGAAGAGAGGATGGGTGACTTTGATTAAGAGCCCAGAAACAGGTTTCTTCACAATAGCTGCACAAATTACTTGATAAATAAACTACCAAATGATGACAGGCACCTAACTCTGCAGCTGTGACTCTGGCTCCTGCCAATAAACTCCAACTCATGACAATCTGTTCATCCTATTACTAATTCCTTGTCTATGATATTTTAGAGTGCTTATTTAGATGTTTGTATGTCTTTTTCTTGAAAATTACTAGTGTTTAAATCATAGGCCTCCTGAAACATGGTCCAAGTCAATCTAAAAACTGTTGAGGCCTATGGTAATAATCATCATTGCCTGGATATCTCATTCCCAAACATTAAAGAAAAAAAAAAAAGAAGAAAGGAAGAAAGAGAAAACATTAACATGAATAATTGAACCAACAAATTTCCAAATAATTTTTCGAAACAACTGCACACAATCGATAAAACATACATCTCCTCAAAAGACTGCAAATTCAATGAATTATGGAATAGAATCAGGAAAAATTTAACTCCACCTAACATACTTTGTTGTCTCTAAAAGATCTTTTGAGTTCTACCCTAGCACCACATATAGTTTATATAAAAATACCACGCAATCTTATACCAAAATCTTATATTGGGCATCCATGGTTCTCCTACAATCAACCACCACACTATACTAAGGCACTAAAATTACATTTCTGAAACCAGATAACTTTGATGTTGTCATTAATGTACAAGATGATATTTCTTTATTTCTCAAAAGTGAGTAGGGCTTTTGATTTTGCCTTAAAAGATGGGCTAAAATTACTGTTAACATGTTTAACACAGGTTAACAACAAAATGCAAACACAATTGTCAAGATGACACAAACCAACTTTTCATAATAGATCATAAAAAAAAACCACCCAACCTGCTAGATTTTTATAATTTCTAGTTTACAGAGTATTCCTAAAGTTTATTCACAAGTAATTAAGCATAAAAAACATGCTACATTGGGTGGAGTTTCATTAGAACTAGAATTAAACTGCAAGCCCTCTTTATCTGAAACATAAATGGACTAAATGGTAAACAAGCACAGGAATATATAAATAAATATAAATTAATTTTATTGTAATGCTGAGATTTTTTATTGTAATTACTGATAAAACTTTTATGCCATACGAACCATTTAAAGTATATTATTCCACAATTCGTTTTTACTATGCAGTTATGTAACTGTCACCACAATCAACTGAAAACATTTTTATTATACTAAACAGAAAGACTATACAATTTAACAGTTGTCCTTCCTCTAATCTAAATTCAACCTTACAATGTATTCTTATCTCCTTAGTATTTTTTAGCTCCATCCATATTCTAGCATACATCAGTACTCCATTCTTTTTGTTATTGTTTTTAGTCATACATTACAATGTATTGTGACACATTATACATACAGGGAATACAATATTCCATTGTGGTTGTACATGATTGAGGAATTCTACTAGTCATGTATTCCTATATGAAAATAGGAAAGTAGTGTCTGATTCATTTTATCATCTTTCCTATTCCCATTTCCCCGCCCTCTTCCTCCATTCCCCTTTGCAAATAATAAAAAGTACTACTTCTACTCTTCTCTACTCACCCCCCCCCAACTCTTTTGAGTTTGCATCCTCATATCAGAACATTTGGCCTTTGGTTTTTGGTCATTGCTTTATTTCACTTAGTATAATAGTCTCCAGTTCCATGCATATACTGGCAAAAGCAATAGCTTCATTTTCTCTTTATGGTGAGTAATATTACATTATATATACATACAACATTTCTATTATCCATTCATCTCTTAAAGAACACTTAGGCTAGTACAATATAATTTAGCTACTGTGAATTGAGCTATTATATAAATTGATATGGAAGTTTCTCTATAGTATTCCGATTTTAAGTCCTTTGGGTATATGAGGAAGAATGGAATAGCTAAGTCAAACAGTGGTTCTATTACAAGTTTTCTGAGGAATCTCCATACTGGTTTCTAGAGTGGTAACCAT